ACATTTTTGCGCTTCATGCACCGATGCTTTTAACAATGCATCGATGCATCCTTGAATATGCATCGATGCATAAGACCATGCACCGATGCATCCGTCGGGTTTTAGGTTTAAAATCTTCATCTTCTTCATTTTTCTCAAAACCTAAAACACAAACTCTCGGCCGTTCGTCCCCCTCTCACCTCAAATCTCTATTTTTGCTCAAAATCTTCGGGAAAACATCGGATTCTTCAAGTTTTTCATCCTACAAACCTGCTACACTCATTAAATCGCGCAAAACATCTCCTCATTCCCCTCAATCCGAATTTTTCAAGGTATTTTCACAAAAACTCTATTTCATTAAATTTTTGAACTTAGGACTAGTTTAGATTAGTTCTAGTTTGAAATAATTATTGGGCATTGGCTATATGATGATTCTAAACTAGTTTCTACAACGAATTTCATCAAAAACGCATAATTTTTCAAAATTATTTGGAAATTTCGAATTCAAAAAAAAAATTATTATTATTATTTCAAAAATGATTGATTCAATTATGTTGTTTTCATGAAAACTATGCGTATTATGATATTAATTTTAAATAGTTTTCAAAACTTTGCCCATTAGGATTATGTTAGAGAACCTTGAATTATTGAGGACTCATTTGAGTTTTGGGATTGAATTTTGTGCATACATGTGTTTTTAAATTGCAGGTGATATTTCTTTTCCGATTTCCCTAACCATGTCTAATCCCAAACGCCCTAGATCATCCTCGAGTCGGTCTCACCAAAACTGTCCTCCCACTCCTAGACCTCAAAATCCATCCAATATTCCTTCATCCCTCATTAGTACTTGTTTTAACATGCCTGAAAACCGTAGGGATGAATTGTACTCTAGGTACATGAACTCCTTCCAATCCTATCGTATTAGGGAAAAGCGTATTCCTTCTCTACAAGCTATGATAAAACTTGAATTTGAATACCTCTCAATTCTTCGCCGATGGAAGTTTGATAAACTATTTTCTCTTCAACCCATCGTCTTTCACCAACTTGTCCGCATCTTTTATTCCAATGCGGTTTGTATTCAGAACACAACTCAGTGCGGTACTATAGCGATTAGATCCTATCTTTTAGGACAATATATCACTATTACTTCTGAATCCATTGCATCTCATTTTGGTTTAGATGACGAGGGTTTATTTAATAAGAAGGAAGATGTGGAATATCCATATCTTCCTAATGCTAGTGTCAGTACCTTTAGGTCTCACCACGATCGATTTCTTCACTTAATGATCTCTTGGTGGTTTAGACCATCCGCAGGTCGGTACTCCACACTACGTACTACAGACTTATGGTGGATGCACTGTATAAAGAACAAAAAGAAAATCAATTTTCCACATATTGTCTTTAGCGCGCTTGTCGATATCATAAACATCATTCCCTCAAAGCATGTAGAAACCCTACCTTATGGTTGTCTACTAAGCAATTTGTTTATCAAACTCAGCCTAGATGTCTCCCTTGACAATCCTATTCCGCTCCAAAACCCAATCAATATCACATCCTTAAAGAAATCGGATTGGAAATTGGATGAGAACACCGGACTATGGTCTTTTCGACCCGGTAAGCAAACCCCGGGAGCTAGTTCTTCACGAGCTGCTCCTAGTTCTTCTCGTGCTCCTCCTCCTCCTCCAGCTCCTGACGCTGATAATGATCCAGAGCTTCAAAGGCTTATGAGAGATATTGACGAGGAAGTACCAGCTCGGCAAGATGATCAAACGCCACCTTATTTCCAATCTTTTCTAGAGTCGTTTGATCTGCGTTTTGCTTCCATGGAGTCTACGATTACTGAGTTTCAGAGGGAGATGCGTGATCGTATGGATGCTCTTACTCTTGAAGTTAGAGCTCATTATCCTCCTCCTCCTCCCGATTCCGCTATGGATGATTAAACGTTATTTGATGATATTTGGTTTTAAACTTTAAGAACTTGGATTGTTAAACTTTTTGATTTGAATGTTTATGTTTGTTTGGATGTTTGGATGCTTGAATGTTTGAACTTAATTTTAATATATTTGGTTTGAATTTTATTCATTTTGCATCATTAGATATATGACCAATTATGCCATTTCACATTTTATTATGAATATTGTTTATGAAAACTAATGGCTAATCTCTCTTTTGATTGTGATCTTAGCAGCTTATTATTAATAAATCAATTGGCTAATGTTTTTCAAAATTCTTGTTTAAAACGTTTATATAGAGTCTTTTTGATTTAACAAAAAGGGGGAGAAAATTTAAGATGTGCTATAGATGTGCTATAGTAAGGGGGAGTAAGTTTTTCAAAATCGATTTCAAAAATAATTTCTTAAACAAATCTTAAAATTATTCAAATATTTTGTTATATCAAAAAGGGGGAGATTGTTGAAAACATTTTTGATATTTCGATATAACAAATTAAGTTAAATGAATTTCAAGATTTCACAAATGATTTTACAAATTCGATTCAATTAACCGAATATCAAATTATTACTCCAAGTTTTTCAAGATCAATTTTAATCCTTACTAAATGTGTAAAATTGTGATTTGTACTTAAACTATTTTTGAAACAATTTTCACAAAGTATTTTGAACCAAAAACAAGCCTTAAATCAATTATTCAAAGGCATGCACCGATGCATCAGTCCATGCATCGATGCATCGATGAATTAATTGAACATCGAATGCATTCCATGCACCGATGCACTCTCCATGCATCGATGCACTCTGAATATTTTCAAAACATCGAATGCATTTGATGCATCGATGCACAATCCATGCATCGATGCATCAGGCTATTTTTCAAACATCGAATGCATTTCATGCATCGATGCACACTTGGTGCACCGATGCATCAAGTGTTCCAACGGTCAAAATATTTGAATTTTACACGAATGCACCGATGCATACTTGATCATGCATCGATGCATGAGACGCTCCACCTAGAAAAATTAATTGTTTTCACACTTAAACGGCTCTATTATCCCCACTAATTATCACCAACATTCAGAATTGATTCAAGGGGTATTTAAACAAGTTCTGGAGCCATTGATCAACAACAAGAAACATCAATCAACTAGAATCAAGAGAGAATCAAAGAGAAAGCATCAAACCTCAAGTTTGAGTATTTCAAGCCTATTTTTCATCCAATATTCATTTGCTTTCAAGAACACTTTTGTACTCAATTGTATTTATCCTTGAGTGTTCTTTTCTTTGTTCTAGAATTGTGCAAACATATTACCTTGTGAGGTTTTCTTGTAAGTTTGCAAATTTGTAATCTTCTCTTTGGGAAAAAGAGTGTTCTCAAGAGTTGGGGTATACTCTTGAGGGATTTTGTAAGGTTATCTCTTTGGCCTCAAAAGAAAGAACAAATTAGTGAATTTTTTGGAAAATCCTTAGTGTGGATAGCTAAGGTAGTGGACGTAGACTTTGTTTGAGAAAGTCGAACCACTGTAAATCGCTGTGCAATTACTTTAAATTTTCTGCAAAAGCTTCCACGAAATTTTTAATTGCCAATTCACCCCCCTCTTGGCCGATTCCGTAGATCGATTAACTCAACACAGTTGATTTTCCGACGAGTAAAGGTGGTCTTCGGCAGTGACTGATACTGAAGGCTGGCTCTAACTTATATAACTTAAAAATATTAATTTTAAACAAATTAAATTACTTAAATTAATTAGTATTTTTAATAAAAAAATATAATTAAATTTTAATAAATGATTAATTTTAAATAAATACTTATACTTTTTAATATTTACATAATAAGGACTATTTTACTTGTGGTATGTTGTTGTACGTCGCTTTAATGGTATGTTGCAGTGTGTGACATGCTTTGTAGACTTATCCTTTCCACTACTCATTCTTTGTAAAAAGAAAAAGATAATTTTAGACATATACAATTGTATGTAATTATAAAATTAATTAGAACATAAATACTTAGAATTCAGACATTGTAAAAGTAAAAAAAATTATCCTAATTTAGGGTCATCGAGTAAATGTAAATTGATGGTTGAGATTAAAATTTATATTTATCATCAATTTACACTCATTTAATGATATTAAATGTATAATATTTTAATTTTTTACGTTAGGTAAATACATCTGCTCTAAAAGTAATATAAATATTTAAAAGTATTTAAATTTTTATCATATAATTTGTTAATTTATTAAACTTTTTTGTATGTAACCATGTAAACTAAATTATGAGAAAATAACATAAATGGGAATATAGTTATTAATTATTAAAATTTATATACTTATATTACTTAAATAAAGTATGTTTTTTTAAGAAGAAAAAAATAAAGCATGATATGAATAGACTACTTAAGGATTCAAATACTTGTAACTAAGTTCCAAAGGCAAGTCGACTATCGACCATATCAAGCGTCAAAATAAAGTGCAAACAAATACAATGGTCCTTTCGCCCGAAGGCGCGATGCCAATGAAATTGGCCATTCTGGCCACCAGGTCGAACCGAAAAGATCACAGGGGGGAGCAAGCACGACTCCAGAGCATCGTTCAAACTTCATAGGCTCTTCTATTAACACTGAGTGATGATTAGATTCAACTTAGGGCTCTTAATTATGTACTTTAGATGATTAAGGGTTATATTTATTATTTATTTAGTTTATTAAAAATTTAGATAAAGTTAGGATTTAGTCATTATTTATCTTATTCAGTCTATTATATTAGAGTTGATTGCCCGGTTGGCACATATACTATATTGAATTCATCAATGTCATACAAATCATTTTTTGTTTCAATTTCTTACATGTAGTTTATCGTCAACGGTTCGCCGTGAGATGTTTTCTCTTGATGGATTAAATTAATCTGGTGATTAAATAGGCACTGCTTGTTTGGTGTTTTCAGGGTGCAGATAATTACTACCGTCCGTATGTTAAGATCTTTGATAGGAAATGAGATGGTTTAAGTTTACGCTTTCATTGTTCAAACTTCTGAGAGTTGGACTTGAATCTATGCAACTATCAGCATGTAGTTAAGTTATTTTATCTGCACAAAAACAGTCTTAGCTACCAGTACAAAGGAGGTGCTAGAAGGATTGCACCCTGTCATGATACAAAATCTCGGACTTGGTCGATACTATCTTCGGACCCTTCAGCCGTTTATAATGAGCCAAAAATGGTTTGATGCTAAATTTTGTGAACACTATAGCCTGCCTCTTCACTTGTCAAGTTCTCCTTCCAGGTCTCCAGTTCAGATCCACCAAAAACCAATTGCTTAATCCCGACGTAGCTGTCCAATGAAAAAATTAAACCGGTCAGAGTCGGCATGTGTTGTTGGATCACAAATGAGAGCCAAGGAAAAAACAGAACTAAAGGCACTGTGATCAAAGGTGAAGTCAAAGCATTCAGGGAACTAATATCAAATGACCAGGATTCATACAAGTTCTGAAAGTAGTCTCAGAGAAATACTTATTCGGAAACTTACTCGGAGCTTATTTGTGTGAAAGCGTTTATCAAAACATCCAGAATCAATGGTTCACTGGTCCCGATATCCACCCTGTTTTATCAGATTCACAAGCAGAAATCATGAAAAATATCCATTCCATGAACTCAAAACAAATGAAAGATTAGTATTGCACAAACTCTACATAAGAAGCAGCAGGAAAGAAAACAAAAAATTTAAAACCAAAACCTATACCATATTCTTGCCAAGTTGTCTTGAACCTCAAGATCCCCAATGTTGTAAAATGTAGTCGGATTCACATTTGCTCCTTGAATAGGATCATAACTTGGTTTTTTCTCTAAAGGAGATTGCGATAACTGCGGACAATACAACCAAAAAAACAATTTTTTTTCTCTTTGAGGTACTGGATATGGCAAGCTCAATCCGAATCAAAGAACATATATTCATTAGGGACTTTTGAGTATCTAGGAAGAGTAATCCAAAATATAGCAAAAAAAGACCATCTAATTAATATAAACTCATTTCCGACATTTAAAATTAATGTATCTTCATTTAAAACAGAAAAAGAAAATTACTTGCATATTCATGGAATTGCAACCACCAAGCCGCCCAATGATGTGCCATGAACGAATTGTCTGCAAACAACTAGATTATTTGCGCCATTGAATCTTTTGATAAAGATAGTACCATTAAGATTCAAGGAAATCACTTACATCACAAATTAAGGAGATATCTTTTTCCAATGGAGCATTGTAGAATTCAAACCAAATGTACGAGTTTGAGAAATCAAACCTGCCAGTGTGGACAAATAAAGAACTGATAAACAAAACAGAAATTCTGACAATTTCGATCAACCATGAAAGAAATACTAGAACACATTAGGAGTGAGGAAACATGGACTACTTGAGTGATAGGAAATGAAAAGGCAATTACAATGAAAATAAGTCCAGGAGTGGCAAAGGAGGAAAAGGTGGTTCAAGAACTTTCAACCCATTTAGTAATTCATGATCAGCTACAACAAAGCTAAATTCCACAATCATGGTGTGATTGGAAAAATGTTTATCTGGCAAGGCCTTTTCGATATCTCTTGGTCCGTTCTAACAAACTTTGTCTCGTAAAGGTCTCCACAGCTTAATTTAATAAACCATAGAACTATAGAGGTAGCACAAACATTTTCATAACTTTCCCAAACCTCCCAATTCAGATAAAATCCAATACATTTGAAAAGTAATTATTCTCCTTATAGCTAAAATGATCTGCTAATGCTGTAACAGAGTCCGAACCCCAAAATCAGCTCAACAAATGTAGATAAACTATAGAAATATTAAGACAAATCTGGATTCGATGATAAAAGTGTGAATGAATACTAAGTCAAAGCAATCAAAAGTCTATTGAAAAAGTACTTATTCTTCTAATACTCAAACGATCCACAATTCATTTCAAGAAATTTGCAGAAACTACAGCAAAGATTCAGACAAATCCGAATACGAAAATCAACAGAGAGTAAATGAATATTAGTCAAGGCAATCTAAAGTTGAATATATTTCAATTTAAAATTAAGCAAAATCAATCTACTTATGAACTCCTTGTTGAAAGTTACTTTCATGGGTGTCCCAGAACCAGTCTTTGTGTGCAAAATTTTGTTCCTTTTCTTCCTCAATCTGTCTTCCATCTGAAATGATAAATTATCTCCACAAAGTAAATTACTCTAAAAAAATTCACGAATATGCTTAAAACCCATAAATATCAGCAAAACAGTTAACAAGTTGACTCCAGTTTTCACTCACTTTTGACCGAGCTTTTTCTGGGTCATCAAGACAACTCCCAAGAATCTCAGCAAATTCAGGGTCTTTATCATAATTCTTCTCCTCTTCTCTCCCTCTTAATCCACTACTCCGTGCCTCGTATTCTTCATCATCTTCGTCTTCTATCTCTATATCGAAACTCTGGGAACTTATATCTTGGCTTCTTTTAGCTTTAACCACCAAAAACGAAGCCTTGGGTGAAGCATAATGGCTCCTTACGACGAATTTAACGGCTGAAAATGGCAGGAGAGCTTTGAAATGGAAAGGAAATTCAGGGAGAACACTGTTGAAGGATTGAATAAGAGAGGCTCCGGGGTTTAGCGTAAGCATTTTCCTTTTAGTTTTGTCTCTGTTTAATGTACAGATTTTGCTCTGTAGCTTTCCTTCGATGGTGTCTCCACAGGGTCAAAACCCAGCGAATATGATCTTATCTTTTTCTGCTTCGAACCAAAGCCCTTTGATTATCGGATTGGGTTGGGTTCGGTGAAATTTGTTTTTCTTTTGCTAATCAAGTTAAAAGTTTGGTTAATTTTTTTAATTAAAATTTGATATAAAAATAAATGCTAAAATTATATATATAATTAATTTAAAGTATTTAAATATGTTTTTGTTAAAATAGATATCTAACGTTTTTTTCGTTACACTTTTAAATATTTAATGTTTTGAACATTATCATACATATAAAATTTTATTTTAAAATACACTTAAAACTAAAATTTAACTTCATGGCTGGTAATTTAACTCCTTATTTTTCTTTATTTTTTTACCTCTTCAATTCATGGTATTGTACTCTTTTTTGGTGGATGTTCTATTGGTTTGGGTTAAATTATCACCTTGATTTCAAATTCCTTTACTTGATTTTATTACTATTTTCAACATCTGGATGATGTTTATTAATTATATTGCTAGTTTTTACTTCCAGTTGCTTGTGATAAGTGGATTAGCTATTATAATCAAGAATATAATTGGGTATCTACTGGTTTTTCATGGGGGATAAGAAATGGAACTTTAAGAGGTGGGCTTGTAAGTGATCCTGAGATTCATGATGCGTATATCCATGTCCTGGTTGTGTAACTTTTCGACTTATATAGATTCTGAGATATTCTTGTACCCATGTGAATTTCGAGCTTTGTATAATGTTTGCATTGGATGAAACTATTATCATGTCAGCATTTGTGAACAGAGATTTTGATAGCATTGTCTTGATGCAAAGTATCATATAATTATAGTACTAAATTGTTGTCCTACCGAGTCATCTTTTTTCTTGAAGTACCTATACCCGAGTGTTAAGAATAAAAGTTGTTAGAAGTCAGTTAGGGAAGTTAGAAATCTGTTAAAGGATTAGTTAGGCAGTTAGCCTTTGTTGTAAATACTATATAAGTGATGTAAATGTGATAAATTAATATATCGAGGTATTTTTAGTAATCCCTTTGTTTTAACATGGTATCAGCCTAATTTCGATCTTTTTCTTTCATGGCTTCTGTTTTTTTTTTTCCTTTTCGTTTTACCCCTTTTTCGCCTGATTACATTCTTTCCCCGTTTTTTCCTTCTTTTTCTCGATGATGCCTGCTGCAGAAGGAATTGACTTCACTCACTTACTCTATCTCCATCCATCTGATATGACTGGCCTTTTGCTCGTTTCTCAGCCACTGATTGGCTTAGAAAACAATAGTGTTTGGAGTCGTTCAATGAAGATTGCATTACTTGCAAAAAACAAGCTAGGGTTCATCGATGGCTCTTGTCAACGAAGCGATTACAGTGATGCGTTGCAAGTACAGTGGGATAGATGTAATGCTGTGGTCTTATCTTGGATCTTGAATGTCGTCAGCAAAGATTTGTCAGCCGGACTTGTGTTCGCCTCCAACGCTGCTTCAGTTTGGAACAATTTGCAAGAGCGGTTTGATAAAATTGATGGTTCTCGCATATTTTTTTTTGCATCGAGAGATTGCCACTCTCTGTCAAGGTGAATCCACCATTTCTGTTTTCTTTACTCGGTTGAAAATGCTATGGGATGAATATGAATCTTTGATCCCGTTTACTGCCTGTAGACACTCATTTTCGTCCATTTATTTATTTATCTTCATATATATCTATATTATATAGTTTGCAAATGGTTTTTGAAAATATATATATATATATAATATAATTTTGAAAACATTTATATATTATATAGTTTTCTAAAACGTTTTTGAAAATAAATATAATATATAGTTTTCAAAACATTTTTGAAAACATGTATATTATATAGTTTAAAAACATTTTGAAAATATATAATATATAGTTTTTAAAACATTTTGAAAACATTTATATATTATATAGTTTTTTAAAACGTTTTTGAAAATAAAATATAATATATAGTTTTTAAAACATTTTTGAATATATATATTATATAGTTTTTAAAACATTTTAGAAAACTATGTAATTTTGAAAATATTTTTTAAAAATATATAATATATAATTTTAAAATGTTTTTAAAAATATATATTATATAGATTTTTGGAAAATGTTCTTTTGTTTTAATTTATTTACCTTTTTATTTTTTATTTATAATTATTACTTATTTTTATTTTATTTCTTTTGTTTCATATCCGTTTGGGGTCCAATCTATCCAAGTCCAGGGTTCAATATTGGTTAAGCGGGCCTGAGCCAGCCCAACAGCAGATTAGGGTTATCACGTATGTCCAACATCGCATATGATCTTGGATCGTTGGATCTGACCCAATCCAACGGTCAAGATCTAGTCAAAGAAGGTTCCAGAAGCAAGAACGGCTGACCAAAATCCTCGGCCAAATCGCAGGAAAATCGGAACCAAGGCCAACTGTTCAAGCACAACACCCGGGACTGAACCATCCCAGAAAATCGACGAGCACCCCACGATATCCGGAGCCACAACGACCGGTGGGGTTATAAAAACCCACGGCCACAAACCAGAATACGGGGGAAGATCATGAACCCATATCAACAGAACTACACACATCAACAGTAAACCAGACAGTACCGTCATCGAGAGCCAACAAAAGAACCCAAACAACCAAACATCAAAAGCAAAACATAAACCAAAGGCCGAAGCCCCACAGTAAAAAGCAAAGCAACGCAAAGATCAGCCGCGGTGTTGAGGGAATAGCCACCGGAAGTCCGAAAGTCGGTGGACTTAAAAGGTAAAACCCGAAGGTTGAGGCGTAAATCTACGCCGTTCAGAGCTTTTTCAGGAGTTTTTGCTTTCGGATTTGGGTTGAGGGCGTTGAGAGAAAGCTTTGGGGGTATTTTGTTTTTTTTTCGGCCACCGCCGGCGGTGGCCTACGACGACGGCGGGCGGTGGCGAACGGCGGAGGCATCGGTCGATTTCTGGGTTTGGGCTGCCGTGTTCTTCAAGATGAAGAACACTGTGGAAAAGCAGAGAGTATTGAGAGACGAGAGAGATGATATTTTGGGAGAGGAGAAGAATGAGTTGGTTCTGGGCATTTTTTTTGCTTATATATTAACCCATCGAACAACGACCCGACCCGTAGGCCAGAGAGGATCCTCGTGTTCTTGGAAAGAAAAGGGTAGATTATGTTTTGGTCCCCACTTCTTTTGAAACATTTTATTTGGACCCCTAAATCAATCTTGTATTTCGATTCCTTCTCAATTTTACCTTCAGCTTTAGTATTATTTCAATTCCGTCCTTTTTATACTCTAATTTATATTATCTTAATTTATTTATTTTGTTTTTTTATTACTATTTAATTGATACTACTCTTATATATATATATATATTTTATTTATTTCTTTATTTTTATATATTTTATGATTTTTTTTATTATATATATTCTATATTATTTTTTAATTATTTTCTACTTCCTTTTTATTAACTCTTGTCTATTTTTACCATTTATTTTGTTCTATTTTACTATTATATTGACGTACATATGTATATTTTTTTTCCTTTTCTTATTCATTCTTATTTTTCCATCTAATATTTTTCGACATTTTCAGAGTTAATTTCAATCGATCAAAGGTAAACAATTCAAATCGGGTAATTTAAATTTTAATTTTAATTTTAATTTTCGCAATTAAAGACAACCGATGAATTAATTGGTACCGAAAGGGCGGTTCAAGGGTGCTAATCCTTCCTTGACCGTAACCGACTCCCGAACCCGACACGTTTCTGGTACAACGCATATCAGGTAAGATGGTGTCCGACCCACCTAAAGTCGTTTTAAAGTGGTCGGTGGAGACTCTAACACAATTCATTCAAGTCGAAGCCTAATTCCGGGCCCAACCCAACCGAAAGACGGTTCCGACAGCTTGGCGACTCTGCTGGGGACAGGTAAGTGAGTCAGGCCGAAATTAATTTTCGTTTGTCTTTTTATGCGAAAATGTTAAATTTAGATTTAAATTTATTTATTCGATTCCAGTTATTTACCTTTGATTATTTTTCAAATAAATAGTTGTACTAACATTTTTTAATGATTTCAGATTTTTCAAAGTTTTCATCTCAGGCTCTATACCCGACTCCAAACCCTATTTAAGTGGGGGTGAAAGCGACGCCTTCGTGTGAATTTATTCACTGTGCGGGCCTAGCAAGTAGCCTTCGGGATTCATATACCTTATGTCTTCGTGTGGATTTATTCACCGTGCGGGCATAAGGGAATGTGTCCTCTCGAGTTTAACTTAGTTCACACAAGCCTGTGATGGGCTTAGGACTAAGGGTCTGGTAAGCCCAAGGGGGCACCGGCAAGGAGAACTCGAGTACCTTTTTTAGAACCTAAACCGGGAAAGTACAAGGATTTAGAGCCCACCCCAAAACCTCATTCCAAACCCTAGGTTGTTTTGTTTCCTGCTTTATTTTCTGTTCAAAGCATGCGAACTAGACAAATATGCGGTTAGGATTTGTTTGAAGTTAGCATACGGGATAGAAATCATGTTCGGGTAGGAATATTAAGCATGTTCGGGTAGATATTATGTGGGGTAGGATCTTTCATTTTATTATTGTTTTGATTTACCTCACTAACTCTCTTATTTTTTTTTTTTTTTTTTTTGGTTCTCTTTCATTTTGTTCTCATCATTCGCATCATTTAAAAGAGGTGTTGATCCACCAAAAACGTGTTTGTTAAACATGAATAATCTGCATTAATGGATAAAGGGGTTGTAATACAAGAGATGAAAATGCAGAGGATAATCTACAAGGCGACTATGTGGTCCCCACAATTGAAGAGTATATCACTCTGGTGCATTATAAAAGACTCTGGATGAACCGGGTATACACCAAGTAATGAAAGTCTATCTTTGAAAAATTGACTGCCAAAGGTTGCAGAGCAAAACGAGGAAAAGGTTACAGACCCGGACGCTCCTTTCAAAAACTACGAGAACAAGACGGCGAAACCCTAGCTGAGTTGAATGTCATTGCTGACGAATTCA